GACTGGGAAGAGCCTGATGCGGATGTGGCTTATGAGCCAGCAGCCTACGTGAATAGGCATGTGAGAAGAGAACCAGCAGCAATAGCAATGACAACACAGGTCACTACAAAGGTGCCCCCATCTTATGATGGAAAGACTTCATGGTTTTCCTATGAGGATGCCATAGACGATTGGTGTGATATCACCGAGCTGGAAGATGAGAAAAGAGGACCAGCATTGAGAAACAGATTAGAAGGAGAAGCAGCTGTATACAAGCGTGTTTTAGACAGAGATGCATCGAAGGCAAATGATCCACCAGGAGCCGGCGTAGAATATTTCAAACGAGTACTACGACCATATTTCGTGAAAGGATCAACCAATGTATTCCTGTATAGGTTCATGCAATTCGTGCGCTTCAATCGAGGATCAGCTGACATGATGAAATGGATGACAAGATTCCAGATTTTACTCCAAAGGCTTATGAGCAGTTGGATGGACATGTTAGAACCAGTCACTCAAGCACATCCACAAGTCCTAGCACAGATGCAGGCAGATGCAGCGTTGACTGGAGTAGCACCAACGGCAGAAAGGATTCAGGAAATCATGCAGACCATCAATGGCAATATGAGGACTTTTCATCAGAACGAATTTCCTCTAGGAGAAAATCTCATTGCCTTACTCATGCTGTCACTTGCAGATTTGTCTCAGGACCAGCGAAACACTTTGACTTCTTTGATGACTCATCGTGGCAGGGTCCTGCAGCAATACACTACAACAGAGTTGAGGACAGTGTTCATCGAGATGTTCTGCACGACAAAGACTTCAGTAGACAATCCTTTGATGCAGCCGACAGGTGCTGGAGGTAGAAGATCATTTCTCGTACTAGACGAAGGAGAACTCGATGGTACATTTGGCTATTGGGCCGAAGATGAAGAAGATGGAACAGAAGGATTTTTAGATGCCCTGGACGATGTCTTTTGGGTATATGATGATCAAAACTTCTCGTGGTTCCAAAGGAGATTCCAAGGAAGAAGAGCCAGAAAAGGCAAAGGAAAAGGAAGAAGCAAAGGAAAAGGTAAAGGAAGATCAGGCCGCAGATTCTTCAGACCTCGTGGAAAAGGAAAAGGAAAGAGACGAGGTAAAGGCCATTTTGCTGATGAGCAACAGACAACTTTTCCAGATGAATACTTTGAAGAGAATCCTTATGAGGACACTTGGGAGTCAAACCAAGTAGCATATGATGCCATTCTTGCCGAAGATATGAATGACTATCTTCAAGGAGAATATGATGATGCCAATGACTTTTGGCAACAGCTTGAAGAAGCATGGTTTTCCCACAAAGGAAAAGGAAAAGGCAAGAGAAAAGGCAAGAAAGGAAAAGGAAAAGATAAAGGAGATGGCAAACAAGATGCAAACTATGCAAATCAACAACAGTCACGTTCTTTACCTGCACCTTCAAGAACTTCACAAGCATCAGGAGGTCAACAAGGTTTCTTTGCACATTGTGTGACAGCAGCAGCTGAAGTCCATGACAGTGAGGTGGACTTGCTGTCAGGCATGATGACCTCATGTCAAGATGAAGCTGACTGCGCGGTCAACAATGGTGAGACGATCTTCAATGGCATGAGTGCCCCTGTGAGGTACTCTTTGTCAAAGGAGATGCTCACAAAGGCTCCTGATGGCTTTGCGCTTATGAGCGCTGAGGAAGAAGTGAAGGAGATGCAGGCCATTTCATTTTTGACTGAGAATCGCTTCCCGCCGACTATTGCAATCCTGGACATTGGATGCACTAGAGCTATGGGATCAAGGCGAGCAGTCGACCATTTTTGCAACTATGTCGACAATCACCCAGATTGTGGATTATGGTACTCTTTTGAGTCTACCAAGAGCAAGTTTTACTTTGCCAATTCCCAGAAGGCTACTTGCTCTCAGAAACTGGTGATTTACATGTATGATCGCGCATGGACGATCCACCATACAGAGTTCGACATAGTGGAAGAAGGAGAAGTCCCTTTGCTTATGAGCTTGCCACAGATGAGGAACTTAGGCTTTGAACTCAGGCTGACACCTCAACATGCTTATCTAACATCGGTGCCTCTTGGTATCAAATATTTGGAGTTGAAGGTTGCAGCCAGTACTCATCTTGTTTTGGACTTCCAAGATATTGCATGGTATCTGTCTGACGTGAATTTGCAGACTCGGCGCGAGAAGAGTTTTTACTCTCATTTCACTCACTATGAATATGGTCATATTTCTGTTGACCTCAATAGTGATGAAGATGTAGCTGAACATGCATATCCTGTGGTTGACTACTGGGAAGTAGATGTTGACAAGAGAGAACTGATACGTCACCACAAGGATTATAGAAAGATTCTTTTCCCAGCAACTAAGTCCTGTCCTGTAGACACTGACTTACTGGAAGACTTGCGACTAACAATCATCAAGAAGAAGAAAGGTGGAGAAGAGATCAAGAAGCAAGATGATTGGCGCAAGGCAAAATGGAAGGACCTACAAATTGGCTATGAATGGCGTGGTAGAACAATTTTTAAGTTCAAGCCAGATGCCAAAATTCCAGATCTAAAGATCAGGAAGGCTGGCATTGAGCACCGTGGCATTGGTGATCCCGATGCAGTGGTGCGCTCCTCCTCAGAGAAGGTTCCCATTGCAAAGGACAGGGAACCAGGCTTCTCATCAGAGAAGGAAGGTGCACCATCCAGTGCCGCGGAAAAGCCCGCGCCGCCAAAGTTTCGGTATACTTCCAAGGGTTTTGATCCATTTTGGAAAGGACACAAGTCGAAACCATCTGAGCCTCAGAATGATTTAAAGGGTGATGATCTTGAGGAGTATGCTCCCTCAGAACCAC